GAGCGGGCCGGCCCCACAAGAGGCGGAGGACGCCCGAGCCGTCGGAGATCGAGGAGAGGCTCGAGTCCCTCATCTGCAGGGTGGGAGAGAAGGTAGGCGGGCCGGGGCCCGGCGGCAGCTCCAGGAAGTTGGGGGTTTCTTCCCCTCTTTCTGTGTGTTGCGTGTTGGCGGTTCATCTGTAGTGACCACCCAAAAAGAAAAGAGTGCTTTTGTTCTGTTCGATTGTTGGGGTTTTTTTAATGAGATGGTCGGAAAGTTGTTAGCTTTTGCAAAACCGTGTGCTAAAACGGGCAAGCGTGCCAACAGTAGCCTTGCATCTTCCGAGCAATGACAAACAGCCGGTGAACAGCGATGGCTTTGTGTCTGCGGATGTCGCTGCTGGCTCCTGCCTGCCAAGGATGCGGAGGAGTTAACTTGGTCTGCCTGTAGCACAAGTTTCAGGTCCTGACAGGATCTGAGACTAATAGAAAGGGGTGGGGGGTGGGGGTGGTGTAAAGGATAAGGACCAAAAGGATGGTGCACTGACGTTATGTAAGGTAAAAACAAGTCGTGAAGATGTTTCGCTTCATGCTGTGTGTCGTTAGTGTACTCCTCAATCGCCTCACCAAGGTGTCCCTGAGGCAGCGTTAGATCTTGCATCCCAGGGGAGCACTGCAGTTCCTTGTGGGGGATCAGCTGCAGCTCTTCTGAGCAGTAGTTGCTCCTTCTTTCAGGCAAGTGCAAGCAGTTCTTTGCTGCTAAGGGAACTGAATCGTTGCTCTGAAAAAGGAGGTGACATAAAAGGATGCTCTTGCCCAACTTCCTAGTCTTCCACTTGGGAGTCAGGGGCTTGTTCGTATTGCCTGGTTGATGATGAAACTTCTTTTAATTATTTTTTTTCTTAATTTTAGAGTAATTCATCTTTGGAGAGCAACTTGGAGGGACTAGCTGGTGTTTTGGAAGCTGATCTACCAAATTACAAAAGCAAGATACTAAGAATACTATGTACTGTGTATGTATGCAGGAGGTCTGGGAATCTGGGAGGTGCTTTCTTCTCTGTGCATAAGTTTAAGTCTTTAAGGTAGTTTTAATGCCAAGAATGGCTTTAGTTACTGAGTGCTGTTATAGCATAGAGTTTAGCTTACTGCAGACAAAAGAAGAGGAGGAATAAGCTCATTATGTACTAGGTATAATTCAAAGAAAATACTTCTTGACATTACTTTGACTTGAAACGTGTACAGGGGTTTAAAGCAGATAGAAAAACCACAGAGCTGCTCTTCTGTAGCGATGAGAATGCAGTGATGCTGGGCAATATCCTGTTTCCCAACAAAATGCTTAAGAGCACCAAAGCTATTGGCTGCTAACATTTATTTAGTCTTGCTAGCTGTCCTGTTTTCTTGTTGCCTGTTCCTTGTCTCTGGCAGTGAGATGCTCATGTCTTTGTGAGCCCATCCTCTAGAGAAGGGGAACTGGGAGCGCAAAGAGCTGAAAGCAAGCTCTCCGGTGGCTGACAGCTCTCCTTCCTCTCCCTAGTAAAGTGCAGGAGCAAAGGTGCCCTGCGTCAGGGTGACTGAGCAGCGTCTGAGGGAGGGGTTGTGCAGGGTCTGCAGTAGTAGGTAAGAGAAATATGAAGGAGGGGTGTGGTGAAGAGAGTGTTCCAGCCCTGGCTTATGCTATGGTTTTGCAGATACTTTAAAACTGTTTTGTAGCAATGTTTGTTAATATAAGGCAAATAGTACATTTCCTGTAGCAGTAAGACACTGCTGAAAGTATAGGGTTAGCTGATGTGCATACAAAAATGATTGAGGAAAATTAGTTTGTTATGGCAGGACCTGGACTTCCCTATGCTGTGCTTAAAATCAGTTACTTTGACTTGAGAAACTTGGAATCAAAATTAATAGTGTAAAACATGTATGCCTCTTCTGTAATCTTGCTGATGCTGCATTGTAAAATTATTTCTAGACTGCGAACTTAAAACAGCTTCTTACATCCTTGCATAAATTCTGTCACATATTATTTGGCCGATCCTCTGGAATGCTCAGCAATTAGATAGAAATAAAAAGCAAATACCTTAAATGCACTTGAAAGATTGTCTGTAAAATATTAACTATGGGATAGAACCATAAGATCATGCTTGCACTTTTTTCTTATTCCTCGTGAGACAAGTTTAACTTAAAATAAGCAGATTGTAAGATGCTATGCAGTTGCCAGTTGGCACGTGATGAATAAACAACTAACTCCATGTTTCTTTTTCTGTGTCAGTGCACGTCTTTTACCAGAAAAGCTTACTGTTTACACGACACTAGTTGGCTTGCTGAATGCCAGGAACTACAATTTTGGTGGGGAATTTGTAGAAGCCATGATTCGTCAGCTTAAAGAATGTCTGAAAGTCAATATGTATAACGAAGCTGTGCATTTAGTAAGTGGCTTTTTGTTTTTGTTTTACGTTTTTCCTCATCCTTTGCCTCTCCTTCTTTCAGTTTTGTTCCAGAAGAGCTGGGCCTTTCCGTGTGTGTTACAGTCTCTTCTGGCATCAACATGCAGTGCACACCAAGAGGAAGTGTGTGTTATGTGAGAAGTATTTCCTTTCTCAGGGGAGAGAACTCATATTACAGTTATAAAATTGACTTCCAACTGTATATTTTCCTAGTGAGAAATTAATTTGCAGTAAACAGAGGTACTCCCCCACTAGCTGTTCTGTAGTCAAATGTGAAAGACAGATGAAAGTCATGCACTTTTGTTGTGTTCAGAGATGTATGATGTTCTTCTGGCTCCCATGGAAAAAAAAAAGAAAATAAAATTAACAGCCTGGTTCTTGAAAGCTATAATCAATGGCTGTTGTCAGGCCTGTGTTTTCATTCTGTTAATGAGGGATGAAGATCAAGCAGGCAGTTTTAAGTGTTGTCTGTCTTTGAAACCATTTGCTCAGCTCTAGTGGCTTACAGATTTTGTCTGCAAATAGGTATTAGGACTTCAGCGATGTCTTGTTTAGAAGGCCAGTGCCAAGCCCCCCAGCTTCTTTTGCAGCCCACTGGTGAAAATGAAGATTCTAGTATTTCAGTGTATTTTGTCAAGAGAGTGCTGTTTAACTGTGGGACACTTTTGCTAGCAAAATCCTCATTAGAACTCTGAATGTGCTGTCCCTTTGCTTCAGCTTCACCTTCTCTGGTCACACTCATATACAAATTACTTGTGAGAGGGAGTGGCAGTGGAAATCTTTCTTCAGCTTTGTCAAAGACTGTTCAGAGCAATGAATATCTGTAAAGTAAGAGTTTGCTACTTCTCTCTGCTGAAGTTGCTCTTTGAGTGCTGAACAGCCTGCTTTCCCGAGACTACTTCCCAGTGATCTCCCTTCAGATCGAAATACCTGTGTTGGTTTTTTGGACTACTTTTTGTGAATGTGCACTTAAGAAAAAATAAGCCTTTAAGAAAAATTATACAAGGTTTTAGTTGCTGGAATTTCAACCTATGTTGTCTGTTAAGTTTGTGGTGATACTGGGAGAGCTTGGGTCCTACTAGAGCCTTGTTTAAGTCTGAAGGTGGGATACAAATCAGAAGAGAGGGGAGAGAAAAAAAAAAAGGAGGGCACCGCGCTGCCCCAGATGTTTTCTACTTAAATTCCCATTTCTTAGAGACTTTTTTTTCCCCAGGCAAATAAGGCCATTTGATTCCCAGAACGCCATCAGTCTGTCACGTTTCTGAAGCCTGAAAATGCCAGCAGTTTTTACATAGGCTCTCTGTAATTATCTGTATTTGTGAATAAATAATTATAGAAATTAATTGTGTATAATGGCATACAGGTTCAACATTGCTGTTTCCTGAGGCACATCTGGACTCAAGCAATGGATCAGTCCATCTTCAGCTTTTTAGAAGGTTTTTTTTTTTCCTTCCGCTTCTGTAATTTTAGTGATCTGATACCATTTAGAGCAGATAGAAGCACAAGGTTTCTTTTCTG